CCCCCCCCCCCCCCCCCCCCCTTAGGAAACGAAACAAATTCCGCTTTACGCGTGGGGGTGTGTGGCTCTGGCTTCGGCCCCATCCCTGTTATGGGTGGGCTTGTTCTTCAGCGGTTCTGGCTTTAGTCTCTCCCCTTTCGGTGGATGTGGATGGATTTGTTCCTCATCGGATTGCGTCCCTCCACCTGTGTGGGTCCTTCTCTCGCCAAGCCCTCCTGCACCAGACCCTGCTGGAAGGTTGGTGGGGGCGGCCACGGTACACACGCAGGCACGCACACCCCTGGTCGCCCGAACGCTAACCAAGGAAGCAGCACAGGCCCCTGATCAAGATTGAAGATGTCTCGAAAATCTTGGCGCAGCATCTTCAATCCAAGTCACCCCTAGTTTAGACTTGTGCACTGAGTACATGAACATCGCGTGGTCTCCAGTCCGTGCAGTGAAGCCTCGAAGACCTGAGCAGACCGGCAGGGTACCACTTGCTGAACTTTGCGCTGAAGTAGCTCACTCTGAACTGTCGGAGAGCTGACTTCGAAATTTGTGGGTTCAAGCCGTTGTGTTGGTTGTTACTGGTCCTGTTGCTTGCTCTCCATTGGCTGCGGACCGGGAAACATGAAACTTGGCAGTTTCGACAGAAACCACGAAAAACCATTGTTTCCGCACAGCTTTGGCTTTAGTTCGAGCCCTCCCAACAAGGAGCTCGCTTGACCCAGAAACCTTGGCCCCTGCACAATAACTACTCCCAGACTTTTACCTCGGGCCCTCCATGACATCATGGTGTGCACACCGTTTTCGCGTGGATATGCACAATGGATTGAGTCTGGATTGACCGCTGTAGTATGCACAGACACACAGCGGGTGCACCTTGACATGCTGAACGAGGTTTTTTGTACCAGCCAGCACTTTCTTTGGCCAGAGGCTGCGTTGTCCTTCACATGTCCGGAGTTCCAGTTTCAGTCGGCCTGAGGTTGTCCCAATCCCTGTCCTTCATTGCATGATTGGTTTCCAGTGCCAGTCCTAGCCTGTCTTGCTCTAGAAAGCATTGCCTGAGGCTAATGCCTACATGACAACTTTCTCGAGATGAAACCTCACTACGAATAAAGGCCGAATCCCCCCAAAACGAGCAGTATCCCGGGCACAGGAAGGAGGTAGCATGCAAAAGTGATGATTCCTATGTGGCCCTACATGCATGACTCGTTTTAGGCGTATGTCTGCGCGCATATGTTGCTTTAGACGGCACCAATCATCTTCATTTCCTTCTTTCCAGACCTAGACGCTGAGGTACACCTTTTTGCAGTTCGACCCGCCTCCAGTGCAGAAGGTAGAGCCTTTTTATGGTTGCGCTTGTCCACTTTGATGAAGGCATCTTGTTGGTGTTCTGTCCTTGTGCAGGAGATCCCTGCCGAGGGAGTGAAGCGCACTCCGGACTACTTCCTTTGAGTCTGAGCACAGCCTGCAGATCAGAAGGACTGAGACAGTTGGGAAAAGAGACTGCCGCGCAGCGTGATTGACACGCGGCATGTGCTTTTTGTCATTAGCTTTGGTGCAGTATGGCACGAGGGCTGATCCATAATTACTGGGCTTCCATTGCATCACTGCGAGCTTTGAGTCAATCCGGCGACGAGGTCACAACGCAAGGCTTCGTCGACTTGGCCAAGCTTGCAGCCTTCCTACATCAGGACATGAGGGGGTACGTGGCTTGGTGAACTCTCAGTTGTGGCAGATCATAGGAGCCAGCTGTTCCACCACCGCCTGGGGGTGGCGTGCCCTTCGAGTTCAAAGGAGGTGCTGCAAGCCGTTCCTGCCGTCTCCAACCTTCCTGTTTGTGTACATGCAGGAGGCGTGGAGTTTCGAGATGCCCACTACGCGTATGCCCACAACACCGTCCTTGCAGGGGCTTCCCTGGTACTTTCGGCAAGTCTTCCGCAGCACTGACAGTTTCAGCTCCATGAAGGTAAACAAGGTCACCCGGCTCAGTAGTAGTAGTAGTAGTAGTAGTAGTAGCAGCAGTAGTAGTAGCAGTAGTAGCAGTAGTAGCAGTAGTACTATTTCTGCTACTACTGCTGCTACTACAGTCAAACCCCTGTGTGAGAACCCCATCCCGCGGGAGTAGCCTACCCTAAGGTTCTTATTTTCCATTACCTCCGGTTTTTGCCGGCTGAGTAGTTATACATGCATTGGCCACCAACCGCCAAAATAAGAACCCTATCCTCCCCTAAGGTTCTTATGTCCGGTTTTCATAGCAAGCCAAGCCACAACGAAACCACTTCCACACGACAAAAACTAAGAACCTGATCCCGAAAGCTAGGGTAGCCTAATGTTCTTAATTTTGAAGCAACCTGTTTATTGTGAATTCCGCCGGGGGTAGGGGCTAAGGTTCCGAAACAGTGGGTTCGGATACAGAACGTTCACTGTACTGTGAGTAGCATTAAACGTTATCAATCATAAGACTAGTGTTGTTGAGTCCTCCTCCTCCTCCTCCGCATCCTCATCATCGTCGTCGTCCTCATCATCCGCACGGAAAGCGTCCCATCCCAAGTGCGCAAGAGCAGGCACAAAGTGGTGAACAAAAAACTGTAGAAGCAGATCCTAGCACCGATGGGTCATGATTCAACTTGATCGCGTGTGCACATGAGCTGCGTGCCGACGCCCTTTGAGGCCTTGTTCTAATCCTGGCGATGAGCGCATAAAAGTTGAAGCCTGCTGTTTCCCCGTGCGTGAGGGATTCATAATAACCAAAACGAGACCATAAACAGGCAATTGGAGTTAAGAGCAAGTGTACGCACAATTTGCATCAATATAGTCGTAGTCCTTGAAATGGTAGCTACAACAACAGCTTCAGCGCAGCAGTAAACTTAACGCCCTGAAATGCCAGGCAGTGCCGGCTGGGACCAAGATGGCCATTGTTGGACCGTCGGGCTTTGGGCTCAGATGTCTCTTACCTCTTCCAAGGAAGCTTGCGTGGCACTTTGAAGGATCCGGAAAGAGCACGTTGCTGCGCTTGATTTACCGATTTGCAGATCCACAACAAGGGCAGGCCGCACGGGTGCAGCCTCGGCCATGGGCAGACAGAGCATGTTTCACAAAACTGATGCTGACCTGACAGGTGTTGATGGATGGTCAGGATCTGAAATTGCTTGATCCGCTCACCTTCCGACGTCACCTGGGGATAGTTCCGCAGGCGGGGCTTGACGCACATGTTTGGTTGTTGTCCGTTTTCTAAGTCCGTGGTTTGGCAGGACTGCTCCTTGTTCAATGACACGATCAGCTACGAGCTTATCTCTAAACTATGGGCAGGATCAACACGCAGCCATGAACGGCTGAAGGCTTAGATTGCTGCCAGGTTTCAACATCCGCTACGGGAGGCCCGAAGCCACAGATGCCGAGGCTGCGCCTTCTGTGGCATGTACAGATGCACATCCATATGCAATGTGTAGTTATGTACACGGTACGCAAATACATGTCCTTGTTATTCCTTGTTTAAAGAATGTCTAGTTTGTATGTATGTATGTATGTATGTATGTATGTATGTATGTATGTATGTATGTATGTATGTACGCATGCATGTATGTATGTACGGTATGTATTGTGTGGTATGTATGGTATGTATTGTGTGGTATGTATGGTATGTATTGTAAGTATTGTATGTATTGTATGTATTGTATGTATTGTATGTACGTACGGATGTATGTATTTCTGCATGTACGTATGTATGTCTCTAGGAATCTAGGCATTTAGGTATGTATGTATGTATGTATGTATGTATGTATGTATGTATGTATGATGTATGTATGTATGTATGTATGTATGTATGCATGTATGTATGTATGTACGTACGCATGCCTGTCTGTCTGTCTGTCTGTCTGTCTATCTGTCGGACTGCCTGTCTGCCTGCCCGCCAGTCTGTCCCGGTTTGTTTTACGTACATGTATGTATGTGAAACAACCGCAACACGTGCGCACGAATGAAGCGTGTACTCTGTCTGCTGCCTGCTTGGCTGTCTGCATGTCTATGTGTCTGTCCGTCGGCCTGGATGTTCATTTGCCCATTCATGTCAACCAGCCGATCTTCAGCGAAAGACGTATGAGTGTGACATTTATTAATTTCTTCGTGCGACTTGCTGTGCATCATGTATTTCTCGCGTGTTTGGCGCACGACAAGAACTTTGAATTCCCTACTGCTATGTTCGTTGTTACGTATCCCACGTTGGCATGCTACATCGCTGTATAATATGTCTGGTACGTATACTTGCCTATGCATGTATGTACCTAAGTTCCATTACTTGGTGCACTTCTCCGAACATCCGCTCTGTCATTTTCCTTTAGCAGGTCGAACGGGCTGCAGATCTTGCGCAGATCCATCAGCAGATTCGATCTCTGCCTGAAGGCCTCGAGCAGTAAGAAGCAGAATCGGCAAAAAAATCCGCCTCAATGCAGAATAGTTGGACTGCACAAGATGGAGCGGGTGTCATGCTAACGTCGGAGTACGAATTGGCTATGGGGGACGCCTATGGCGAGGGTCCTCCGCAGGGAAGGGAGGAATCGCTTCGAGGTGCCTCGTATAGGAACTAGAGAGATGTTCACCCGCTTTCTCAAAGCCTCCGCTCGATAAGAAGACAACGCGCAGACAGGCTACGGAACACCCGTCGGGGAGCGTGGCATGAAATTGAGTGGAGGGGAGCATGGGGCTCAGATGATTCTCAACAACTGAAGCCATCAGGCGCGTTGCGGGGTGCTGCCAGGCGGCAACGAATTGGTATTGCACGATGCTTGTTGGCGAACCCGTGCGTGACCCAGACTCCATCGCGTTTCTGCAACTTCCTGGACGCACTGCATGATAACGAAATCCGCTGTTGCAGGTCTATTGTGCTGCTGGACGAGGCAACTTCTGCCCTCGACGTCCGCACGGAGCGGGCTCTAGCAGCTGCCATGGACGAGCTCATGAAAGGTGGGGCCAACTAGTCTCCCAGACGATGTGCAGCATGCAAAATAATCAAGTGCAGGCTAGGGTTCTGAGTGCACAGAGTTTTTATTGTGCGAGTCTTTTTCCGCGTCCCAGGACGCACTTGCCTGGTTGTGGCGCACCGGCTGGCAACTGTTCAGCGATGCGATGTCGTGGCCTTCCTCGAGGCTTTTCTATTCGCACGACATCTTCCCATCGAAGCCAAAAGTGATCCTCGAATGGTAGCAGCATGCCCCAACATTCCATGGATTCTCTGCATGACCACCGGCGAGTTGCTGTTTGAGTAGCAGTGCAGCTTTCGCGCGATCCTGCGAAGCTCATCCAAACTGCAAGGGTGGAGTCATCCGCGAGCAAGGCCCTCACGAGGCGTCCTTTCGAAAGCTGCGTTGTGTGGTCTGCAAAGCAGGGGTCATCACATTCCATGACAGGAACCAGAGGCTTTAGTATGTTTCGGTTCCCGTCGCAGGAACTCCTGCAGAGGAGCGAGAAGTACAGGAGATTCTGGGAAGGAGCAGGGCTCTCAGTGGGTTTCTTTTTCCGGATGTTGCCGACTCCAACGCTGAGGTGCCTGCTGAAGCTTGAGTCTGCATTGCAAGCCAAAAAAAGGCGCTGCAATCTTCTTCCATGCTGTGGAGCTTCGAAACCTTGGGGTGATCGCTTGTAGCTCGACAGCCATTGGACTAGCAGCCTTCAAGCATGGCAGCCTGCCGAGATCTGCAGAGCATACAAGATCGTACAACTGCATTTGGTTCTGATGCGCAATGCTCCTTCATCAGAAGGCAAAGAAGGTCATGATGGAGTACCCTAACCATTGTGAAATCACGGAAGCGGAAGCAATCCTGTCCTTCGGCGTCCTCGCGCCGAAGCAGGACCGTCCTGACTGATGTCGCCACATCCGGCCAATCCAGATGCCTGTGAGGATGCAGCCAAAGCTGCTGCAACTTGTTCAACTGCTGCTCCTGCTGCATGTCAAGGGAGAGGTGCAGCATGCTCTGTGCACCGTTGCATGAGTGCTCGAGTTGAGAGACTACTACTCGTAGCACCACCAGAGCCACATGCGCAGGCAGAGTGCTCGGCGACAGCGGACACCTGGACCGTCCACCTGTGGGTTTTTTTAGTAGATCATTTAGAGTGGCGGATGTCGAAAGCGAAGCGGTCAGGAGGCCGCTGCTGAGAGATCCCAGGCCAAAAGCGCAGCTAGCTGACCTCATCGGTCTCGAGGAAGCGAAGGCCCTTGCTCAACTAAGCATCTCAAGCTTCTGGACAAGTGCTTGGACGGGCTTACAGCTTGCTCTTTCCAGTAGAAGGCGGTGCTGCGAGAGGCAGTTACATTGCCACTGCAACTGGCTGGCTACCCGAGCTGCCTGTGCTGAATCAATGCAGGCTTGCCAAAGCAAGCTGCAACTTTGAGGCAGAGGTCGGCAGCATCTTCTGGCGCTCAGCCGAGTCCGGCCCCCACCTGTGCGCTGGGGTTGCGCATCCCAACGTGTGGCTCTCGTCGCCAAGGCGGAGTGCTGTGCTGCTTTCCGGCCCTGAAGGGATTGGAAAAAGAGCGGCGGCAGAAGCAGCGGCAGCATTGGCCGGCGCCCAGGCCAGGGGCTCCGGTTGCGGAAAAAAGGGGATATTGTAAAACTTACCTGAAACTACTGCTATTCCTCTTGGTTGTCAGTCCTAGTCTCGTCAATATCTTTTTGTAGTATGTTCCTGTTGTGCTGGTTCTGCTGCTGCTGATGGTGGTGAGGATGATCGACGGTGTCTGTATCCGTGTCCTTGCATTGATATGTGTACCCAGTCCATACCCGTATTAATCTCTGCATCTGGATAATCAATCCCTGAGTCCTGGCCTCCTCATGCTAGTGCCTTTCGCAGGTGTTGCACCTGGCAGCAACTGATGCCGTCAAAACAGCCTTCTGCAGGACATCAGTGAGCCTTGTTTGGTGCCCCCACTCGCTGGTCCCTCGTGGACTGCTCTCCAGGACAGCAACATCCAAAGCTGATGCTTCCCAGAAGCCTGTCCTCATACTCGTCGAAGGGCTCGCTGGGCTCTCAGCCGTTCTTCAGTTAGAGACCTAGCCAACACCTAACCCTTAAGTCCTACCTGCACTTGCAGGAGTTCGCCCCCGAAGCTGCGCTGTCGATTCGGCGCTGCCTTGCAGAGGCTCCTTACTGGGCCTGTGACCTGCTCCGATGTCGACCAGCTAAGGCCAGTTTTGCTTCTGCCTCGAGGGAAAAGCGATCCGTCGGCCAGGTGGCCAGAGCTGAGGGCTCGCAACGAGTTGCGTGCGTGGCAACTGCCGGCTCAATCCCTGGATTTCAGGGCATGTTTCTGCAACTGTAGCATGGTGCTGAAGGCTCCGACCCAAGCCAGTTTCTTCGGGCGATCGAGTGAGCCCGTTAGATCTGCAACCTACTTGCAGCGAATGGGAGTGTCGTTGTGACGCTCTTTGCGAGGCTGTTTCCATTTGGCTTCATGGTGCAAATTTCACCGCCTAGCCAGGCACTTTCGCGGTGGCTTCTTGAATCTCGAGTGTGGTGCAGACTGCCGACCTTGAAGGCAGAGCGCAAGCAATTTCTCTTGAAGCTCTTCGCACAGGCTCTTCTTGCGTTGATCTGATGTGGTCATTTGGGTTCAGGGGCTCAACCCAAAAGCCTGCCTTTTTTCGCGTGCTTGGTGGCCAGGTCTCCAGATCAGATGCCCAATGGGGATCGGCGTTGCGAGAAGCTGTCCACCTGTCGGTGCTTGCCACCAGGGTTCCAGGATACCAGCCACGATCGCAGGGGGCGACTCACAAAAGCAGGCAAGCAAAAGTCGTAGTACTGCTTGTAAAGACTATGGGGAATAATATGGTCAAGCTCGTAGCCATCATCTGATCCCTTGGCAGCCTATTTGCGTGGCCAGGCTGTCGACACGTTAGCAAGTCGGAGCCTCAATGTCACCGCCTGCCTTCACTACACCCTGTTTCCCCTCGAGTCCGGAACATATACGTCGAGGAATTGTAGGCGAGGCCCAATCGCTGTGGCGAAGTCCCTTTCAACTGTCATTCCCCAAGCACGGGATCGGGAATCTTGCCATCTCCAAGGGTAAATCGATGCAATTTCTGAAGGCTTCGGGGGGACATCTTCTTCTAAGAGCCGTGGTAGAACCCGGCCTGGGCGTAGCCTGCCAAAGCCACCAAGATCTTACCGCCAACTACACCTTTGCAGAGATAGACTTCGTTGTCCGTCGAGCATTCCTTCGAAGTACTCAAGAGGAGGACTGGCTTGCCAGCTTGTTTATCACCATTGGCCGAGCTTGTGCCGAGTGCAATGAGAGTCGGCGTCAGGGCTCCCGAGATCCAGTCGCACTACATCACTTTGAAAAGATCTTGGCAGCTCTCACCTCAACCCGACATGCGGCCTTGGCCATCGCTGCTCTTGTCCCGACCGAGGAGACGCCACCACAGAGCTTCAGTGCCTTTGAGCAGGGCGCATCCAGTCGCGCCTTGGTGTCGTCAATGCGCAGGAGTGCGGCTTTGCTTAAACACAGAACACTGCAAGGCACGGCACCCCTGACCAGTCCGGCCATGGGTGCTGGCTCTGTCCTTAAATGTCCAGAATCCAGATTACTATCCACGCTTGCAGGTAGAAGTGCATAGTTTGGCACATGGACAGCACAATTCGCTAGGGAACTAGAGTCAGATTCGGTCAAAAAGGTGAAGAGCCGCCCTCCAAGAAGGATTCCGATGGCAAGCCTGGCACCGAGGAAGTCGGAGAGCCAGGGAAAAGAACCAGCCAAATCTTCTCGCTTCTCAGGCGGAAGAAGAGGGAAGGTGGCAAGGATCCCATGGAGAGCATCTTCGGCTGGCCCGGGACCTGATCGGCTGCGGCCGGGGGGTGCTATTCAAAGTGTCGGTTGCAACTTGCAAGGATGGTGCGTGTTTTGTGTGATGTCTGAGGTGTAATTTCTGGTTGCCCGAAGCCTTTCATCTTCCTCCAGTCGTGCTGCCCCGAGTACTTCCGGCTGACGTGTGGGATCCTGTGCGCTTCGGGCGTGCGTGCAACCTCGACTATCCTCGACTGTTTCCAGATATGGGCAATGGTGATCTTTGGTATCATGGCCCACCTGATGGCCAGGACCACGTGCGCATGGCTATAAGAACCAGGTGTCGGAGAATGTCGGCCATGCCGGCATGCGGCATGCGATGAGGTACCAGCCATACAACAACCGTCGGCGACGCAACGTTCCCAGAGTAGACTCGAGCATAACGCTGCTTCTCACCTGTTTGCTTTCAAGGCGGCGCTGAAAGGGGTGGTGCGGGTGGCCGCAGCTCCCTTTTCGGTGCCTCAGATGAGCATGGCTGACTCGAGGGTGGTTTTGGAATTGCACAGTGGTCTCCGAGCCTAGGTGATCTGAAGGGCAATCCGCCGCTGCCTGAGATGGCGCGTTGCACTGTTATCTTCTGCGAGATGGCGACATCAGTAGCTTCTACCCGAGCATGCATAGTTAGAGAGTCTTGCGCTCTTGCTGTGGAAGGTACGGACCACTGGGCGAGGGTCTCGGAGATTGGCCTCTCGGAGGAATGGGAGGAATGCCTGGCATGGCCGGCATGGGAGGTTTGGGAGGTCGGTGCCTCGGATGTGTTGCATCTGCCTCAAGACTCCCCGTTCTGATATTCAGGTTTGGGCGGCTTCCCCACACCGCCTGGGTTCGGTCCAGACCTTGAGGGGAGCTTGGTAGGATCAGCCTGATCATGAAATATCATGAACACCGCCGGCCTCCGCAGCGCTTAGCTCAAGCGTCCTTTAGGGACGGCTTGTTGCAATGGGAAACGAAGCTTCCACTGGAAATGCGACGTCCGCTCTGAAAGCAACCAAGAGGCCCGGGCTGGCAGAGACGAGTGGAGGATGAGAGAGCATCCATATGGGCAGTTTTCTAAATTAGGGTCCGTTTTAGGGGCCCGTTTTATCAGGGTGTATTGGGGACCCAGAAAGGGACCCTAATTTAGAGAACTACCCATATGCAGGTCAAGCAACTTGCTGCTGGCCGGCTGGCAAAAGAGAAAGTTGCCGTTCTGCTCTCAGATCGTCAGATCTTAGTCGTGCTGGAGGCTGTTGAAGTACGTTTGGGCCACATTGTCCTACAGTCTAAGGCAGTCTAATGCCATGTTGGCATGTCTCACTTTGCATCACAGTTCTTGCGTTTGCTGCTTCCATATGTTTGCAAGTGGGCTTATTCCAGCAGTGCGTCGCTTGTAGAGTTGATTGTGCGTTAAGTATGGTATGTTGTACAGCCCAGAAAATAGTATATAGTATAGTTATAGCTACATGTGCATGCTTTCGCAATATGCTTGTTGCATGTGCCTGTTTATGTATCGTACACGTGTTTGATTGAACAATATGCCTGTGCCTCTGCCTATGCCTTTGTCTCTGCATGCCTATATGCTTAGACACCTGCCTGTGCGCGTGTCCTTTTGTCTTTCGTAGGTCGGTCTGTGCATGCATTCGAATATGTACTTGTCTGACCATTGGCTCCTGTAGAACTTCGACCGTGTCACTTGTCCCAGCGGCTTTGCACAAGGACACAACTCTTCGCAGTGGTTCGGCATACGGAGCGCGCCGATGGAGTCTTCGCCTTCTGGGAGAACGGCAGATGGTCGAGCTCAGAAGACTGCAGGAGGCGAGGCAGGAAGTTTGGTTTTTCGCCTTCCAGGGAGTCTCGGTGTAGCCCAGGTTCCCTCTGGATCCGCCACTCAGTGACGCGGGTCACGAGCAGGTGTTGCTCTTGTTACAACCTTTATAGCGAGAGCCAGAGATGCCTGGGCGCCTGCAGGCGGAAGTGCTGGGAGTTGACATTCGGCAATTTGCCGAGCAGACTTTTGGCTGTGCACTGGCGCACCATGAACCTGTCAGACAGCTTTCGGTGCTAAACACATGCAGGTGTAGGTGTGTGTGTGTGTGTTTGTGTGTGTGTGTGTGTGTTTGACCTTAGCCTTTATCTCTTTTTGAGTTGTCAGGAAAGGCACCGACTTCCATGTGGTCGTGTGCTCGCCGTATTCGCGGTGTGTTCAGACGGCGGTGAAGATATGCCAGCATCTAGGATCTCGCCCTTGCACGACTGTGCACAGATTCTGACGCATGCTGAGTTGACTCTATGAAGATGCACATGCATGGCTGGTTGGGTAGGGACATGCGCACTTTTGATATTTAACCATGTAGCAATTTGTGCGAGTACCGTCCGAGCTTTGCATGGGGCCAATAGGCGTGACAGCTACTTATGCTGGCAGGACCGAAGGCCAAGATGCTGATCGACCACTCCCTGGGTGAAATCTATGGCCCGTCTGTGATGGGGGAGGCTGGCTGAGCTGCCAGTGAGGAGCTGCTTCAGGTTTTGGTAGGTCGGGACTCAAGTGGGAAGTGCTTGGAGGCGATCATCTGAACAGTTTTCTGCTAGACTGGGACGCAGGCACAACCTCGCGATCACCTCAGGGCTTTCACCGTGGCCGTCGCCAGACCGCAAGAGTGTTCTCGGAGCTTCTTTCGACGGTGAGACCATGAACTGGAGAGCCGGATCTGAGGTAGACTACTGCAGAGCTCACGACGTCCCCGTTGTGACCAGGGCAGTCGGGCAAAAACCTGTCGGAATCCTGGGACTGCCTCATAAGCAAGCTTAAGCAAGGTCTGCCCGGCGACTGCCATATGCAACATCGTGCAGCCAAGGTGTGGCCGGAATCACTGCAGGATGCGCGACGGAGATTTGCATTACGCTTTCTGCAGTATCTGCAGCGTGGAGCTGTGGCCAAGCGCCTCTGCCTGCAATTGCATGGCACGTGACCCCAGGCTGAGCTGAAGATCAGGACATACTTAGAAAACATGCCTCCCAGGGCTCGGCATCCTGCTAAACGGACAATCCTCCTTGCCGCAGGTTTTGCAGGGTTGCAGAGTAAGCCGGAAGAAGTTGTGCGCCAGCATTCCGCAATATTCAATTGGCTGAAAGACATCTCTGCAAGGCGAAATTTTCTAATCGTTACGCACGGCGACTGCATTGGGTCCGTCATGAGCATCATGCCGGACCGATTGCACGCCATTGGAGAGTCAGCTGCGAATTCTCACAAGTGGAGTTTTGCGAATATATCACGAACTGTAGCCTCGCAGCGAGGAGCAGCAGGATCTGCTGGTCGAAAAGGCAGGCAGAGCATCTTGCAAGTCACAGCTTCCTTTTTTCTGCTCAGTCAGGTGGATTACGGTGCCACAATTCTGGCATCTAGGCAGCCCGTTCAGAGAATGCCAGCTCCGACGCCGAAGCAATCCGCGCCTCGCGCTCTTTGGCTTGCCTTGATGACCCTTTATGACTGATGCAGGTAAGAACTTTCAGTGTCACTGAGCTTCCCGAGGCAAAGGGCATGGCCTCTGTAATGCCTATGTCAGCGGAGGCCCTTTTGGCAGAGCCGGCACTCTGTTCTAGTGACTGCAAGCCAGAGCCCTTCCGACAGTTTGTCTCTGCGAGGAAGAAGTCATGGTCGAGGGCTGCTCGACTTGCAATTTTTTGTCGTGTCAGCATGTGGATTCAACGTCTCTGCATCAGTGGAAGGTGCCGTGAATGTGCGCCCATAATCGAGTAAGAATCGGAGACGGTGACTTTGAGAATAAGTTTTGACCGCCGTGGCCGCTGTGGCTTTGCCTTAGCTTTGGGTGAATTTTGTGGGCTCTGTGTTCCACAGCTAGGTGTCGGGGTCGTAGTGGTGCATATGATCATGACGACAGAACAGCGCTTCTTGGCATGTTAGTCTTAGATGCCCAGGCACTGGCGACTTTCGTCTGCAGGCCTGCTGTCAAACTTGTGGCTCGCGAGCTTCTCATGAAACGAGTGGGAGTCCTGAGCCCAGAAGTGATTTACGACAAGATCCATTCAAGTGGAAGGACGGATTGGAGCACATAGCCGAGGGCCTCGAGGACACTTCCTGTCTGTACACTTCTTTGAAACACTTGGTTTCACAGCCACAGATAACCGGCAGTGCAACTGCATAGCCTTCGGGGTGCTAGGTAAAAGTTGAAGAAAGAGCATCGGACCACTTCCAGACAACATGTTGGGAACGGCCACGGTGGCCAACAAAGGGAGGATGATGTCGGTTGAGCCTCACTTTCGCAAACACGCTGTTGCAGCTGACCCGATCAATGTGGGGGGTAGACACCCACGCGGCTGTGAAATGCCGTGGCCCATGTTTGGGCAGGGGTGCAACATCAGAGTGCTAGAGTACCCGCTTTCAGCAACACCCAAACACCAGTCACCAGCAGTTCACCAATGTCAATGTGAAGCTGCTTCTCTGCTTGCCTTCGGGAGCGGGTGCGCTTCCCATCATGGCAGGACACCGAGGGTTCTGGTCAGCGGGAGCCCGACAAATGGGCCAGAACCCCAGCACGGTGCTTCAGAGAGCCCTTGGCTCAGGGCCCTGACCCAACCAAGGCTATACCCGCCGATGCAGACAAGGGCGGCCCGGAGGTAAACAAGCTGACGCAGAAGGCACCCGAGTTGCACGCTTGTGTCCGTGTGATCACCACTGTGATCCTGGCTAATCGAAGTGGGCCCTGGCAAGGTCATGACCGGCTGGAACTGTGAGACGATGCATATCTCCGTCCGCCATAAAAAGAGCTCCTCGACAAGACATCTGCAGCAAGACTTTGAGAGATCGCAAGCTGCTTGGCGCGGAGTCTCAGGCAAGGGGTACAAACTGGCCAAGCGACTCACAGCGCTCGTGGAGCAGCTCGCCTTGGCTATAGACATAGATTGTAAACCTTGTCACATGTAGGTAAGAGTGTTCACGGGAGGTCAGGGCCGTTTTCCATGCAGAAAGTGGAGAAGCTCTTGGGTGCTATTCCACAGACACCCCTTGGCGACAGCACGCCGCTTCCGTCGACTCCTGCCGCTTGACTGGTAGACGCGGTAGAAAGCCAAGATTCCAAATGCCTGCTGTTTTGTCTCGATGCACGTTTGAGGCAAACCACAGTCGTCGTCTTAGTGCAATCATGCAGGAGGGCTAGGGCCATCACAGACGATGCATGCGGAAGCGCAGAGCAGGTACAACGCTTTCGGTGCAGTCCGGGCTGTCTGCATCCACTTATCTCTTTGGTGGGTCACAGCTCGACTCCGAGGACACTGGCTTTCCATGTTAGATCGATTTCGCCCCATGCACTCTGAAGCTCCAGGACTTCAACCCCTTCGTGCCACCGAGCCGGCTTCCTAAGAAGCCGAAGCCGACGAATCAGGTTTGGAGATCTCCTCATCCAAAGCTCAGCAGCTGAGGTCCTGATGCAGTCGTTCAGAATCAGCGAGCCTTGCCTGCACCGCCTTTACATGAGAGGGTTCCAGGTCGCCCCTCGACTCTTGCTGCCTGAACATGAGCCCTTGGCCCTGGGCTGAGGTGTGCTCAGTTCTCAGCTGGACCCTGGCTTTCGTCAGCTCAGCTTCTCAAATCTTGTTGGTGGCATTCTGAAACTCGAGATCTTTCGCATGTTTCTGACCGAAGAGACCTGCAGGACTTTCAGAAACGCAAGATGGAAATGTCCCACATGTCGCAGAGATCGGCCTCTGCAGTGGACAAGCGACTGATCCTAAAGCTGGTCTGCTTGCGCTTTTGCTTTTTTTTCTCAGGTCTGCTCTCGCAGGTCGCTGCAGGCGTGCTCAGCTGAGGTTATCCATGAAGCACTACTTGAATCCATTGGAGGGTGTCCAAGAAGCAGATCTGGAAAGGAGTCCGTCAAAGCACGCCGGAAAGGCATCTGTCAGCTCAGCAGCTAAGCAGCACAACGAGATACCAGTTGCAGCACCCGACCGTGCAGGCGGAGGCAGTCGGACCATCCGAGCCTCAGCGAAAGGCGGGGTGGAAGGGAAGGCATCGCTTCTGTTCCAAGCATCGGTTCTGAGAATCGCCTCTGCAGGTATCTTCGCCCAGCCTTATCTTAGATGGGAGGATCAGTTGGATCCTTAGAATGCCTGAGAAAATGGCTCGTGCAAGTCGTCGGCCATGCGGCACATTATGCCGTTAACAGCGGAATCCGCCTTCGCCTCTCAGGTGACGGCCCTTATTCGGATGAAGGTCGCTTGTCCCGATTCCACGACACCAGCCTTGCTTTGCGACTTCACGGAACGCGAGCAGCGTGTGGTTTGATGCATCTGCCACACTGAGGCAGCCATGTTAGTCTGATGAGCCAGGAAGAAGGGCCAGGGAAGCCCAGCGCAGAGCCTCCACCTGTGCCCAGCCCTGTCGTGCCTGCCAAGCCCCTGAATTCCTCAAGAGCCGCTTGCCTTGACACGCGCAGAGCCGCCAAAGTCTGATTGCACCTGGAGCTCGCCTGTGTTGACTTCAGGATACGACCTTTACAGCAGCTTCGGCGGCATCCTCGCCGGTGCCAAAGCCCGAGGAGCCCAAGAAGAACTTCGGCGCTCCAGGACCGAAGCCCAGAGCAGTTTCCTTGTCAAGTTAGGGTTTAGGGTTTAGCGGAAGCCTTGAAGCTCAGGAGGCTCCAGTCTGCTAGCCCGAAGACGAGCAAGTCTGGGCATTGCACCCCTTGGTCAGTGAAGAGGCTGTGAAGCTTCAGAGCAACGGAAGATAAAAAGTCGCATTTCCAGCCACGGAGCTGTACATCTCCGTGTCGTACAGAGTTTCGATTCATGCAGTTTCAAGCCTTCCTGTTTCGACCAGCCGGTGGATGTGTTCTGCGAGTGATCAGTTAGAGTCGAAGCCACTGGCCTGGTTGAAGCTGGAAGAATCAGCCCTGCCTGACGGACCTACGCTGTCGCTCGGGTCGGCGACTACAATCATCTGCAAGGTTTCATCTACAACACTCTCTGGCCTTGCATCAATAATATCTTGTTGACATTGAGACCTTGCTGCGCACTTGGTGGGCTGACGCCCCCTCACTGGCATGACGGCGCTGTCGCCCATCACAGCGTTGCGTCGTGTGACGCTCTCCACAGGACTAGTTCGCAACAGCACCATCTAGTATCTAGAATCGAGATGCCATGGCAGTCTTCACGACGCAGAGGCCGTGTACAGACATTGTTTGAAGCGTAGTAAGACAAGAACGATAACGATGTGTAGTGGATTCCTGCTGCCGGAACCCAAAGCTGCATTTTTGCGCTGGGTACCTTACGCCTTTTTATGCCTTTTTGATGATTCTCTGGGCTGTGTCGGGCTCGCCACACTGTGACATGGTGTAGTTTGAGTCGTCGCTAACTCTCCTGTTCGGGGACGAGCTCGACGCCAGCAGATGCTAGCGATTTGTGTTTTGCTACAATCCGACATTGAATTCAATACTGAGGTTGGCTGCACTTGTACAGCATTTCCCTTCCTCTGTGCACGTGCAGCTTGGCACGTCTGAGGTGCACTGGATGATCTAGTGGAGCAGCGAGAAGAAGCCACACTGTCTAGATTAAACATCCAGCGCTCATTCGACTTAAGTTGCAATGTTCGGTGTCTCCCTCATTGGGTTCCTGCAAGTACGTTGGTGATCCCAACTACAGGCTGTGCCGGGCAGTTTACACTCTCGAAGCTGCTGTCTCGAATCCGGACATGCGCTCGATGTGGTTGCTCCTTGCACTAGACGCGTTGGCTGTGGTATGGCCATATCCAAGATGCGAACACCAGGTGTTGTGGACCGGGGCAAACAGGTTGAACACCCGCTTCAGCTCAGAGATCGGTAAGAGTGATACTAGGCGCTGAACCTGGCCTTTGGCCTTAGATCCCCCGACCTTTGCATCGCTCTGAGGGCCTGGTGGGGAGGCGAGCGGCACCACAAGCCAGGATCCTACTACGATGGCAAAGCACTGATCAGCCGGGCTGGTTCTTTGGCCTAAGCCGCCTTTGCAGGTGGCACCGGTGCAGCATCCGGCAAGGCATATGCGCTGGCATCTCACGGACGAACTCAACTGCTTTTTGTTTGCATCTCCTGTAGGCAGCTGGTGGCGAGGCAGAAAAGCCCTGTGCCCAAAGTGGTGCAGACGAGTTGTGGACTTAGTGACAAGATTCGAGCTTGCTGGCCTCTCATTGAGGGATGGGATGGCCCTCGTTGTGCCAGCGTGTGTGCAACTTGTTCCGAAGCCAACAGTTGCCTGCCATCATCAGGTCATAACTGCGTGATTCACGATGCTGAATGGTGCGGCATCGAGCGAAAATCAGAGCCAGTGAGTACAACTATTGCACGAGCCGAGAGCACGCACTTGTGGATGTGGTTCAGGGACATTCAGCTAGATTCGGCAAGTGTCTTGTCTTCGCCATTCAATCTCGCAGCGTCTATAATCAGGGAGGGTGGGTGGCATGCTGGCATGCGGGTTTGGCGTTGATGCCGCTGGCACCGCCGCTTGCTCGGAGACTCTTCGGTGCTGTGTGCACGGCATGCCGAGAGTTTCGTGCGCCTTCAAGGCCTGCTGTGGCACAGCGCGTGCTACTGGCACACCATGGAGGCGGAAGTAAAGCCACGATGTGTCTCGCTGCGTCGACGAGACTGGTGGCTGTGGCAAGGCATTGGATGTCGACCGCATCCTCGGTCAGCTACTAGAGGACCGTGTCTCAGACACGGGCTTTCTCTCCCCGTCCTTGCACCCATCAGGTGCGGCACACCAGGCCGCTCAAGCTAGTCCAGCTGACAGAAGTAGAGATCAGCAGTCTGTGCTGCTTGGATGCAAAGCGGTAGCCACCTTGCCTGCCATGCTCTACTCGCGAATTGGCAGCTTGGCCGGCTCAGGCTTCCTCGCCCGAGAGGTCTTCATGGATCAGTTGCAACCTTGTACTACAGACTTCCAGTTGCAGACTCGCTGCTGCATGTGCACTATAGTCAGATACCACTGCAGGCCGATTCTGCTTGAACTGGGTTGTCCCCTCAAGATTTGTGGTGATGTGCACGGACAGTCGAGCTGGCATGTGCTTAAGCTTACGCGCCTTGATCAATGCCGCGTTGCAAATTCACAGATAGTGAACGTTTGTTTCGCTTATCGGTTATACACCATGCCGAGACTTGGCTCTGGGTGGCTGTAGTCCAAAACTCGATTTGTCGGGTCTGAGTTCGGGGACTTGGGCCCTCTCACACGCGTTAAACTTGCAATAGATGCATGCGCGCACATGAACATCATAGTCATAGTTGGTGCATGCAGCTGCAACCATGGAGCCATGGAGACATGCCTTCGACAAAATCGTTTCGATACACGGCAGTCACGTGCGTTGGCATCGTTGCAGGTATTCTGACTTGCTGAAGCTGTTCGAATGTGGTGGCTTCCCACCAGAGGCGATGAGTTGGAATGAGATCCGAAGATAACATTAGAGCTTTGTCCTGAAGGCGAACTACCTCTTCTTGGGAGACTACGTGGACAGGGGCAAGCAAAGTCTAGAGACAATCTGCTGCCTCCTGGCGTACAAGGCCACGTGCCTTGTTGTTCTTGTGAGACAAACGTGTTAAGAGGACTTGCTTGATTCTGGTTCGAGCACTGGTGCTCAAGTCGAGCAGCCTCTGAGCCAGAAGAAGTTCCATGTGAGCTTACGTGCCTTGACTGCTTTCCGTCGTGCGCTTCGACATTACCTTAATCAGCGGACCAAGACAGAGACAGCATTGTCTCTTGTAGCTCGCGCAGATTGTGCTTGTTAAGCCCAAACTAGACTTGTGGGCGATTGTTTGGCCCAGAGCTTGGTCTAATGCTGTTATCGTGCACCCCAATGGCATGCCTCGTCGCTCTGTGACGTGCCGCGGCAATGAAGCGCAAAGACGTTGCTCAGCTGCGATGCTTGCGGAATTTGGGTGTGAGCCTTTGTGGGCTGTCGCTTTGAGGAGCAGCTTCCATCGCTTCTGAGGCTTGGAGCCGGTTGACCTCGAAGACCCCAACGGCCTTGCCAGAAAGCTGGCAGATGCACTCCTGCAGGCGCAGGTAGAGGACCTAACGCAACGAGGAGCGAGCCTCGAGTGTCCGGGAGCGCATGCTAAGCTTTGCCCCTCCTTGCAGTCCCTCGCCCTGACCTCGCAATCATTGCAGGACACAGAGCTCTGCCTCTTTGTACTGCGCGTTGTTCTGTGGAGACCCTGCAGTCCAATGCAGAGACTTGGTTGAAGTCCCAAGCAGGCAAGCATGAAGGAATAAAGAGCTTACAGACAGGCCGTGTTCAAAAGCGCCTGAAAGCAAGGCCATCGTCGTCGTCGACATTGTGACGAACTACGACTTCTCCAAGCTCTGCAGTCCCTAAGCCCGTCCAGCATCTCATGTCCACAGTGTCCGGAGTCAGACACACCCACGCAGACGCTGGCAGCGATCTCATGCAGGACTAGCCTTTGCTAGGTCTTTTGCATGGTGTTTCTAGCCTGATGATTGCAGGAAATAGTCTACCGAAACTTAAGTAGTGAGTACATGTTGACGATGATGATTCAGAGGTCTCGAAGTGGATGAGAAGAACGCCCAGCAGTTTGTTGAACAGCTGGGGCCGGGCAAGCGGCCGCTTTGGGCTGTGCCTGTTCTCCTCAGGCTTCGCACTTGCTCTACAATCTTTCGGCGGAATTTGACAAACTTCCATTTCACGAATTCAAGAACTTTCAATTTCAGGCTGAGTGCTGACACAGACCGACGGTACCTACGCTGTTGCATAGCAATCCACAGCCATGGTTGATGACTTCTGCACACAGGTAATCGGCAGAGGCTTGCAGAGTCATGAGGATTCTTCAGGTTTTGTCGTGTTGTTGAAGGTGCTGTTAATGTCGACGCTGATGCGCCCGTTGATGCTGATGGCACTGCTAGACGAAGAACAAGAAGATGCAGCATGATCATATCCATATTCAGCATCATGATATTATCGTTTCTATTCTGGTTGGTCGCATCAGTTAAATTGATTGCCGAGATGATTTCCAGTGCTACTGTCACTATCTTTAGCCTGTGTTTGGCTTTGCAGGGTACCTACACTAAACTCACTAAACCCCGGAGCCTTAGTCTAAATTCGCGCCCGGGGCGTGGACGCATGTTAAGTACGTGGCGACTGCGGCCACAAGCCCAAGATATCCCCTTGCCATTCCACCAGGCCAAAGGGTGCCGCAGAGCTCGTCATGGCTTCCTGGCAGCACCAGAGAAAGAGAAGGTGAGATCCCAGAGTGCCGCCGCCACAAGGTATTCTCCTGTGTTCTACGGGAGTGTGGGTCGATCAGACAAGCAGCCATGACCTCAGCGTTCCCAGGGCTCCTCAGTGTCTCAGACATGCTGACTGGGCGGTGGAGAGGCTGCTGGCTCGCCTGTTGCGGATCTCAAGCGCTGGTCCTTGCGGAACTCCCGCGGGGCACAGGCCGGAAGCCCCGTCTCTCAATCTGCTGCCCCGCCGAGAAGAGATGACTGCATCCTGCCAGGTGACCTTCCTCCAACATTCAGCCAGTGCTTCTTGCTTGCGAAGAGACCTCAGCCAGGTCTTGCAACACTCCCACCAAACAGATTCCGAGTGTCTTGCCGTACTGCTCGGAAGCCTAAACGTGAGCCTGCTACATTCCGACATGCGACATGTTGCCATATGTTGCGCCTTCATATCAATTCATCTTGCAGCCCCTCCCTGTAGATGTATTGGAGGCTAGTGCCTTGGTTGGGTTGGCTTTCCGAACTTTGCAGACCAACAGCCCTGCCAAGCTTCCCGGCATTGCCCTGCAGCGTCTTCCGTGTGCCGCTTCGTGATGTACAAAGCCAAGATAGAGACACCGAGGCACAGGAGATGATCCTTGGCGGCCCCACAGAAGCCGCCGCGATACTGGAAGTGCCCGTGGTGCTTGATGGGAGTACCTTGGACAGAAGGAGATCCAGCTTCGCTGTTCCCGGAGTTGTTAACTACCCGTAGGACGTGAAGGCTGCTTGACAGCTTGAGCCCAATATTTCGATGCTGGGCAGAGCAACCGCCCGGAAAAGCAAAATTAATGTGGTTGCGGGGTGAATCGCAGTAAGAAGTCACGGTATCATCACCTCATCTACGGTGTACTCAGTGGGTGCATGGTGGCTGCAGACGTCCCGCAAAGACCTTGTTGCTTGCAAGCGATCCAAAAGACTCCAGGTACAACTCGCTTTCCTGTACGATGTTATAGGAGGCAGCCCATTCCACGGCCGTAAACTTTGCATTCTGCCTTCAACGAGGTCGACCCTACTTGTACAGTCACGTTGGCACCCTGTAGTGCACTGGGGGCTTCGGTACTTCGGCGCCACATCCTGCCAACCACAAACAATCATTTGAGACGAAGCGGAGGGCGGTGTTCGCCGAGGTTGTAGCTCGCGCACGGCTGCCCACAGTTGGTTTTCTGCACCCATAATCAACGCAGGCTAGTTCCTTTGTTCATGGGAACGTCCCATGCCAAAGTCATACTGGCCTCAGACCTCAGGTACAGATGCTGAGGCATGGCGACAAGCACAAGAGAACCAGCGTGAGCTACTGGCCGAGGCCTGACTTTCGGCCTTGTTACACCTTGACAGCTTTGGCTCGCCGCCGCTGGCCTACAGTGCAGCTCTGTGCAGGAAGAGCTGCGGTCCAAGAAGGCGAAGAGAGCCGCCGCCAAAGGTCAGCGGGAAGCTGCGGCCGCCGCTCTGCCCTTAAGCACTGCTAAGCCGCTGCGCCATGATTTGCTATGTACTGATGCTGCGGAGCTCACACTGCTTTTGAGCTTGCCGATGCACGATGATGCAAGGGTGCTATGTGCCACTGTACGCCAGCCCTCCAAGATTGTTGTAGTGCGCAAGTCGTTTGACGCTGTGCGAGGTTGTTGCCACGGACAAGCCGCATGAACCGGATGATAGCTGCACAGCTGCGGAAGAGACCAGAACCTCGGATGGATCTGAAGTGCTCAGTGTGCTGGAAGATCTGGAAGCACCTGCTGAAGCGGAAGAGGCAATTGTCAGTCTTGATGCCGTTCAGTGATGTGTATATTGAGCCATCTCTTTTGGCAGGACGCTCTCGGTGGGGAGTGGCAAACATGCACACGCAGACGGAAAACCCATCAGCAAGAAGCTGACCCACTCCGTGCTGACCCGGCTGAGCCAGCGGAGCACATTCAAGAAGCTAGGATGCGGCCAGATGTCAACGAGCTTCTGTGTGGCTGGCTGGCGGCTTCGCGTGCGGAAGAGTCTTGCCGGGTGTTCGACACTGATCGGGCATCTCTCCTGCAGCTTAAGTGTCAACATGTGTCAACAGTCAGGGTTTGCAGCGGGTCGTTGTGAAAATGTCAGCCGAACAGGCAAAGCTGGCTTCCAACTACTGGTTTTACCGCCGGAACGAGAATGCCTGCTGGCGCTTGGGTTTCCTGCATGCCAAAGCTGATGAGTTGGGGGCGGGATTCCGTGCCGATGCACTGGGGGCGAAGGGGTCCTTGGGGGAGGCCTGGTGCATCAGCTCTTGCTTCCCTGATCCCTGGCAGCCTTTGCCAGAGATCGAGCCCGATGGAAGCGATCCTCAAGTTCTGCTACTTCGAGAGGCTCTAGAACCTCTGGAGCCTTCGCCGCCGGGACTCGGGCCTGGCTTGGAAGATACATCGCTTTGGAGGCACTTGCTAAGAGGGACTCATGGGTTCTCACTCCATGGACCAGAGCCTATCAGCCTCTATCCTGATGCACCGGAACTTGCAAGAGTCGCGAGAAGACGCCAGAGGAATGCGGGCTGGCGTCGCTGGTGGTCTGTCTTTGCAAAAAGTCGGCAATTAGAGCAGTTTCCACCGGGTCTCCCTGCTGCCTGCAAGGGCGGGTCTTCTTCACATGAACCACAAGACATGTCTTTTGTCGATGGCTGGCCTCCGCTGGTCCCGCTATGCCCAACAGTTTTCATACCCGTGCCCGTCCACCTGGCCGTCAGGGTGCAGCAATACGTGGAAAAGCTCCAGCGGGAAGAGCTGGAACGTTTGGCTCCGATGCTGCCATGATGTACATAGAACCTGGACTTCTGGTCCTTGACTCGTTCCGACGTGCCCATGCGCTGCTTTCAAAGAAAGACTCCTTGACAATAGCTACGCGTGATCACTTGAAAAGTTGAGTCAAGGGTGATTGGACGCTCTGAGCCGGTAGGTGAAGTTTGCTGAGAACTTCTTCTTGTTGCGCGGCAACCATGAATGCGTCCCTTGGCACGGAAGCTGAAAGTTTTCGAGTGAAGACTGCCGATGTCCACACACTTCCCAGGCTTCAATCAATCGTATCTATGGCTTCTACGATGAGTGCAAGCGACGGTACAGTATAAGGCCCGCCCTGGGTCCATCAGCTCGTTTGCTTCAGCTTGTCTTAGCGGAAGGTTATGGAAGACCTTCACTGACTGCTTCAACTGCCTCCCGGTCAGCGCAGCGCGGTTCCCAGAGAGACAGCGAGGCGAAACAGAGGAGGTCGCTGGTGGGTGCGGCTTTGCAGCGAGTCTAGATAGGACAACAGCGAGGCGAAGAATGCTCTCGGCAGACGGTGGCCTTTCCATTGAATGCCAGTTGAGGTCATAGAGGACAAGATCGTGTGCATGCACGGTGGCCTCTCACCCGAGCTGAATCAGCTGCAGCTGCATTCTCAGTTGGTTGGGCCCATTGTGAAGAGGGTGCAACATGAGACATTGGGACACTCAGGCAGATCAACCAAGTGGTCAGGCCGACGGACGTACCGGACACAGGCTCGGAATTTAGCACCATCTTGAGTTCGACGAGGGGTGCGGATCTGGTCTTTCAGGGGCTCTGTATCCGTGCCTCCCCTTCTGTTCGAGGGGAGACGTTAAAGAGACGCCACTTTTCAGGTTTGCTCTGCGACCTCCTCTGGCCAGGGGCTCGAAAGACTGTGGCTTAACTCACGCTCAGCTCGAAAGACTTGGCCCGCCATGGCCCAGGTCAGATCCAGAGAAAGAGATCAGCGGCTGGGGGGAGAATGACAGTGTCTGAAGCATGCATCTTTTTCTATTGCTCTGGGTTCTGGCCCTCTGAGCCCTCAGATTGCGTCCGTTGCAGGACCGTGGGGTTTCATTCACATTTGGGCCTGATGTTGCACTGGGCTGAGCCATGTGGAGGTTTCTCTGTGACTTCTTGGCCTGCCGCGCTTGCCACTGAGGTTTCAGGGTTTCTGCGAAAGCATAGCCTGGATCTTGTATGCCGCGCGCACCAGGCCTGAGATTGGCAGATTCCTTTGGACGTGTGTGCGTGGATGTGGTCAGGTTGTTGAAGACGGCTACGAGTTCTTCGCTTCGCGTGCTCTGGTGACACTGTTCAGCGCGCCAAACTACTGCGGCGAGTTTGACAACTCTGTAACGCCCTTATGCACATGCGTGTTCCTTTGAGGTAGAGCATTGTGAGATTCGTTGCGACAGGGAGGTCTTGCTTACGCCTTCCGTGTCGGTTTGGAGATTGAATGTCTAGCCAGAAGAGCTGCGGTTTCACTCGCAGTGATGTGCAGCGGTGGTATTGTGGCTTGCCTGTCCGAGGCAGCCATCATGACCGTGGACGAGAGGCTATGCTGCGCATTCCAGATTCTGCGGCCCATGCGGCTCTAGCAGGCGAAATTGCAGGGAAAAGCCGGGGAGGGGGTAGATGTTACGAAGTTGCTGCTCCCCAAGGCCGCAGGTCATGGAGAGCGGCACCTGAGGTTAGCCCAAAGCAGTCCGCAAGGCCTTTTTTGGACATGAAAGAGACCCTTCCAATTGCACATCGCACCTTTCGGACTGCTCGCCTTTTGATGTCTCAAGAGGCCCTGAGATAATGGAATGCCTCAAAAGGCCCTTTGCTCGATTTCACCTGCCTGATGCAACGGTCGGCAAGTTAGATGCTTATGGTGCTATGATGGCATCCAGATTCAGATGCATATTCCATACTTTGAGACGAATGTTAGCCCGGTGCTTCATGTCACTCCACTAAGAGCTGCTGCTGGAGAAGGAGAGCATGGATGCTGGAAGTTGTTCGTGATAGGCCGTCAACGACATGTTTGTGTACTTGGACAGCAGGGATCTACCACACATCATCCTTACGGCATCCATGCCTCTGGTTCCCGCTTGTCGGCACAGTAAGATGTCCCAGCCATGCATGTTCAATGCATGGGTGCATTTATCATTAGTCGCGTGGCAGGTCAACTGCCCATGCGATTCATTGCGCCTCTCCGTTGGTCATGTCAGAACATGCCAGAAAGGATCCCTCTCAACGTTCAGCAACGGGAGTGTGGCTTTGTTTGTAGATGGAAAGCCGAACAATTCAGCATGCCGCCCCTAATTTGCGGCCGCAGCGATGCAGCAGCTTTGGAGCCATGGCATCAGCCATCAGCAAGTGACCGCAAGTCCAGTGACATCAGCCTTTGCATACTCAACCCGCCACGACACAGAGCAACCTCTGCAAGGCGAACTCTTGCGGTCTTCATTTTCTGGCAAAACTTGCCAGATGATGCAAGGCGAAAGGTACAAGAAGTGACCCAGTCAGCTGCATTAGACCTGGGCAGATCCCCGAGATCCTACAGACTCAAGTCTTCGCTGTGGTAGGTGGAAGGGATCATGCCGGGCCTCCCCTGACTTTCGAATGCAAGTGTCTAGGGTCGGCAGCACAGCTCCAGTCCCAAGCCGCAGCTTGCAACCCCTGGTCGGGTGTGTGTTTCGCTCCAGTCACGTGCTGCTGAATCCTAGCTTCGGTCCGCAGAAGTTGTGCCGCAATCTCAAGCAGAAAAGCGTGGCGTTTGCATGTGTTTGCCACAGGCTGCGGCCGGTGAGGGTTTGCAGCTCCGCAATTTGAGAAGCATGTTGACCGGCTACCTTTTTTGCCTCCGGTGACCTGTGACGATCCAACTTCAGCAAATCAGCCAACACGTCCATCAAGCACACGACCAGGATTCTGGCAGCAGCAAGTGTAGATAAATCATCATAGCCTGGGGAGCACAGGCAGCCCTGGGCTGCCATGCTACGTCCACTGGGCCTGCTCGCAGGACCCCGGCACCTGGGGTCGATGGAAGATGATGGAACTGGAGTTGATTGGAAAGTGCATGTCCTGAAGGTATGCTGCTCGCAGGCCCCGCATCGGCATGAGCAGATTCTGCCATGATTCTGGCATTCCATGACTGGGAGATTCCCTCCCTGCTTGGTCCCGAAGATTGGCTCGAGACAAAGGCGGTAGATGCGGTTGGCGCGGTGTTAAGGATAGGACAGGGCAGACAAGGTTCTGCCCACCCATCGCCATCGAACTGCACTTAATTGCAACTGTTACAAATAAATAGGTTGAGCGGGACTGAGTGTTGCATGCTTAACCTTCACTGCACCTGGCTGGGCTGACACAGCTGAAAGCCGATGGCACAGAATGTCAGGTCCTTAAATTTGGTGGGGACAGGACTGATGAAGCACATGGACGTAAGGGCGGAAGAAATATGGACAGACAGGGGAGCAGCCTGAAAGCCCAGGAGGAAGAAGACACAGACATGACACGGAGACACGCAGATAGTCAGTCAGACGGAGACCGACAGCCACTCTGACTCAGTCTTCTGGCAAGAACAGATGGGGGCTTTCATGATCCGGGATTGAATGTGATTGACGTTCAGCTGATGTAACGAAGTTGCAGCATAGTAGAAAGTGCAGTTAAGACATGCCAGGTTTTCAATGTACAATCAAGCCACAGATGCACCCATCAAACCGGCTTGTGAAGACCTGGCAGGGTGGTTGAAGTCACTAGCAGCGGCTGCACTAAATGGAGACAGGTTTCTGAGCTCATGGGTTCATATCACATCATTGCGTGTGCGCTCACATGGGTCGCCAACATCCTTCCTTTAATCCCAGACGCGGCCGGCAACATTGTACATCTGGCCAAAGCCATTTCAGCACCTTTGCGCGCCTGCCTGTGCAAGGCTCGCGGACTCTAGGAGTGACAGGGGGGGCATATGCCAACAACATGATGACATGATTCGTGACGAAAGATCGAAAGACTAATTAGTGGCACGATCCACTCCCATCTTCCCACAGCGGGCGGACGAGATGCAAGTACAATCAGGTACATGTTTCATCATTTTCGCAGCAAGGGGAGGGAGGGAAGTCTTCGTTGCGCAGGCGCCTCCTCGACTGTGTTGAGCTCCTGATATTAATCCTTCGGCTCACGTGCCCAGTCTTTCAGTCGCGCACTTCCCGGGTTGGGAGACTCTTTGACGGACTTCGCGAGTCCCTGCATGTTTGCCCCCGCTTGTATCTACTGGGCTGCCCGCCTCAACAGCAGCGGTAGCCTCGTTGTTTCCGAGAGGGCTGGCAGCAGCCTCAATGCAGCTCTTGCTGCCTGCAGACACTTTCCGCTGTCCTTCTATCCCCCTCAGCTAAGAGGTTCCGACGCACAGGCACCCACCGAAGCCTATGCCTTGAGAACTGCTTTCACCGCAACCGGTGCACTTCTGTATGGTCAGCTGAAACTTCTCGGCAGCCACACGAGCTACGATACGGAGGCGCTTCAACACTACAGGACGCGCGCAGCTGGCGTCGCGCTGAAATTGCAGGCTGGTAGAATTTCCGGCTGGCGGAGAGAAGGCATAGCATCCCTTTGCCGACTTCGTGTCCCTACAGGTCACTTCCACTTATCCGGTTTCTCAAGTGAGGCTGTACGAGCCACCCTCCAAATAGCATAATTTGTTGGGGCTGACAACCAGTCATCGACTTTCCAGTCATTCTTCGGCTTACTTTCTTCACGACTGGCCTTACGCCAGCCGATTAGGAGCAGCAGAACCTGAGCGGCGACCCCGAATCTTTACAAGTGTGGCGATCGTAATACGGTTGATGATATAAATCCTGCATTACTAATAATAAGGAATATACCTTAATTCCCATAGTTTAGGGTCTTTAAGGTAATGCAGGATTTATATCATCAACAGTAGTACGAGCCCTCGGGCGCTTGAGCAGATGCCTCTGGTTGAAATCCGAGCTAGTTTCTTGGTAATTTCGACCTTCATTCAGTCTTCGACCATAAGGAAGGGCGGTAGGTGGCTGCTGTTGCTTTTTGTTTTCAACACCCAGCAGCCCTTGCTGTAAAAATTGGGGTAGGCAGAGGCGCACCGCACGAGAGAGCTTGTAAGTGGAAGTGGAAGGCCGCCTTCATGTCCAAGGCTCGAGGGCGATCGGAGCCATTGAGACGAAGCTACACAGAAAACGGTAAACGAATGTAAACGATTCCCGGCACATGCCGTGGTGACCGAGTTCGCGGCAAAGGTGGGAGTGGAAACCGGACCTACTGGACCGTACAGTCGAACACAGGAGAGCGTGGGACTGCATCCCGTAGTGCGATTCTACACGTTGCAGCGTGCCGGAGAGCGGACGGCCAAGGTGGGGGCGCGCTGCCTCTTTCGGTCCTCAACGCTCTAGGCACGGCCTTGGCTTGCAACTTGTGTTGTGAAGTTTGTAGTGCATGATGCTGCATGGGAAGGTTCATGAAGTGCTGCTCAGGGTCCTAGTATACCGGGCCCTAGTCGGACCGTTCCTTATCTAGGTTCGAATACTGCTCTGTTACGGGCTTGCTTGGAGAAGCAAGAAAAAGCAGCAACAACATCTTTACCCCGAAACAAGCTTGTTTAGGTGTTATGTTCGTTGTCATGTTCTTGATGCCATTGAGATATATTGAGATAAGCTTGATTCGCCCGCTCCTTGCTGTGTTCTCAACGCCAATGCAATGAGTCTCTGGCCAATTGAGAGTTCACTGGCTGCTAGCAGTTTCAGCAGGGCCTTATGTCGACCTTATTTGGGCCTTGTTTTGTGTTGTGGGGCTCGCTCGCTCCCATTCTGTAGGTCCGAGGCACCTGCTTCGCCCTGTAGACAGGGGCCTTGCGTAGATTTTCAAGAAAGGTGTCGACTAATGTGCGAGTACCCGTGAGAGGCAACGTAACTCCTGTTCTGCGAAGTATCCTCCCAAAGTGTGCGGTGCCCAGGGGCCAGTGAACGCAGACATTTGGGATGTCCCCTTGCTTTCACACCTTCGAAGTCATGCTTCCGAGGTCCAAAGAACCTCAAGTTGAGGAGACAAGATTCACATGCTCGTTCGCTGTCTCAAACCCTCCTGCATCCAGGATGGCGGAGGAATGCGTGTTCGATTTGGAGGGCAGCCCTCTTTTGCCCGGATTCCGGTCAAGGATGGACGAACGCCAGTGCCGTTAGGTGCATGTTCAAGCTTGAGGTCTTCCAGCCGTCAGATTGGCGACAAAGGAAGGATGCTGCAGCGCAAGTCCCCCAACCAGTGATACCACGTTTTAAGGGTGGGTGCGCATGGGAGTCGGTAATTTATTTCTTCCATACGGTTCTGTTCGTTCACCTGTTGGCCAAGGGAACCAGCGTGGTCCCTTAATCGAGACTATGCAAGATGCCGAGCCGAGTGAATCATCTCGTGACAGGAGGGGCAGTGCCGGGGAAGGATCAGCCCTTTCGTTTTCCAAGGTCTATGGGTACAACGGAAGTTGCCAGGGCCAGAGCTCCCCCGGCCTTGCAATGCACTTCTGATGCTGGGCCCTCTTGCCACTGCTGAGGTCGGAGCTCGTTACACTTCATCTCAGAGACCGAGATTGAGCCATCCTCACTCGTTCAAGTGCAGCCATGTGCTATGGTTATGTATGGCATCATAGTCTTGCTTGGCACATGAGGCTTACCCGCTTGCGAACCTTGCTGGAAGCTTAGAACTGCCAACGTCGGGGCATGCTGAGCGCCGCTTGAAGGGATGTAAATCACCACAGTATAGCAGATGGCAGCACTACGCGCCCGCCCGGCCGAAGCTGTGGCATGCTGTGGCAACACAGACCACGACCAAACGTCCTCTTTACTATTGTGTTTCAGGCATTTTGGGGGTTCAAGGAGCTGAGCAGGATGTTGTGCGCCAATGCTTATCCTCACCTTCCGGACCGACCAAAGCAGTTCAGAGAGCGAAGAGTCTGTTTCAAAGTGCTGACCCCCCCAGGCTAACACCGACACTTCCAAACACTTCCACTTGTGCAGTGTGTTCTCTTGGGGCCCGAAAGTCGAGCTGCACAGCGTTCTGGTTCTTCTACGATTTTTCCAGGGATGGGCGGAGGGATAAACGGGAAGTGTGTGCTTGGTGCGCCAGCTCGTGCTGAGGTCATACTGCTCGACGTCAAGTCAAACGAGCAGCGCTTCTTTGATGGTCACACGAACGACGTGCTGTGTCTAGTGCCTTCGCCGAATTACAGCGATGTATGCCGAGCATACTGCACTTCTGATTGTCCATCCAGTGGCCCACCAACAGCCTTCGGTGTGGGCGTGAATCGGAAGGCCTGGAACGAGAACCGGCGTCTGTGCATCTCGGGGCAGACGGATGTCAAGGCAGGAAGCAACCAGAAGCCCGGGATGCAAGCATGGCCCTTCAATGCAGTAAAAAGGTTACAAGCTGAATCCCAGGGTGCCGATGGCCCGAAAGCTTGCATCTGGAGCCCGGACGATGTCTCAAACTTCTGTAATCTGCTTGGCACTCAGTTCCAGTCACCATGTCAAAGTCTTGCAGTTGCGCGGGCTACTTTCACAAGGTTGCATCCTGGACACTCTCGATCTGTCAGCGCGGTTGCTCTCAGCCAGGAGCTTTCAGATACATTGCAGGTCTATGCAGGTCTCGTAAGCTGAGAATTTGGAGGGGCTGCCCGAATTAGCCCCAGGCTCCGATGGTCAGACTGCGGTGACGTTCACGACAGATGAGGCCCGATGGCATTTCCAAAAACTTCCGAACAGAGTCAGTAATTTGTGATGTCTCGCACATGACAAATCGGGAGTCGATAAGAGGCCAGCAGCTTCTACATTTGGCGACTTGACTTCCCTCGTGCAGCGGCCTGGCTGTGATGTAACATCCTTAATCGAGGAACTGCAGGTGTGGAAAGTTTGGAGTTTCGATCGTTTCTGGCGGTTGGATTCGGTTCTGCAGGCCCCGATTGAAGGGTGCGATAAAAATCTACATGTTCATTGAGACGGAGAGATGACAGTGACTTCCTGCATGCGTAGTATGTGATCACGTGTTTCTGTCGCCCGCCTACCAAGGTTAGGAACGGCACTTCCAAT